CCCCAGAGGCGGTGCATGGGGGGGGGGGGGGCGGAGGGTTGAGATGATGTCAGTTTTCAGCTATTTTTCACTGTCTAACTTGGATGGGTCTGTCAGGCTCTCATAATATATCTTATCCAAGGCATTAGAAGTATTACTGATCAATTCCTTAAGGAAAATTGCCTTGTTGGAATAGAAGATATTGATGATGAGAGATATGAGTTGGGCCACTTCTGCCTGGAAGGCAAAAGTCCCCACCTCCTCCTCTCCATGATGTACTTCCTCAGGCAGCTTGGAGGTGAAGACATGCAAGTACTAGGGAGCAGGGTGGGCAGGGACTGTGTTTTGTTCACACACTACAAGAAGAGTACACAAGGGTAACTCAGAGCAGCTTAAACAAATCTTAACTGTGTCTCTGAACTGACAGTCACATAAGTCTCACTTGAACCCCAAATAATTCTGACTAATGAAATCTTACTTCTATTGCCTTGTAATCAACTTCTGGCTATTTATACAGCCTGGCTGTTTTCTTTTTCCTATCTTTTGATCCTAGTGCTTCATCTTTTGTCTCCAAAGGAATAAAAACATTACTTACTCGTATTCTATTAGTGGATGCCTATCTGTTTAAGACTTTGAACACCTAATTCTCTTGCAATGTAATTATCCATTTAGAATGAATCATTGATTCTGCCTCATGGGATGAGCAATTTGTACGCTGTATTTTTTTTCCTTCACATCCCACAACTCTCACATTCTGCAGAATAATCTTGAGTTTTATAATCAGATGATTAGTATTAATTTAATTGCTACATTATGCATCTAACATCTGTTTATATCCATTTTAGCAATTGTTTGGAAATCAACTCTCAAATTTTACTGTTCCTATGGCCACATGTTTTAATCATATCTGAGTCATTATATTTTTTCAGTTCTCAGGTGGCCTGAGTATTTCCTAAATAATATTTTTTTAGAAAAGATATTTAGGTTCTTTATATCATGAGACCTTAGAAGCATATGAATAGTGTCCCCCCTTTTGTAAGTCATATTGGTTAGGATGATATTTTGTTATATTTAATAACAAAAAAAAACCCAAATGAAAAATGGCTAAAAATATATTAAAATTTATTTCTCATATAAGAGAAATCTGAGCATAGGATGTCCAGACTTCACCTGATAGAGCCATGAATGTTGTTGTTGACCCAGTTTTATGCGTTTCCTCACTGCAGCAGTTATCATATTCATGATCTCAGCTGGTTGCTCCAGTGCCAGTCATCATATCCACTTTCTAAGCAGGAGAATGAATGAAAAAAGAGATGGAAAATGATGTTTTACTTCCATTTCTAGGAAAATTTACACACTGTCGGTCACATTTCACTGGACCAACAAGAAGAAAATAGTCACAATTGCAAGGAAAAAAATTATAATGTGTTTGACTAAAATTGAAGGAAAGAATGCACATTAGAAGTCACAATCAAGTTATGCTCACACATTTGAGCAATACCTTTAATGAACATATAGAATTCGTGGGTTATAAATATTCTTTCTAAAATCTCTGTCAATATCGCTCCATTGTCTACCTTTTTTTTTTTTAAAGAAAAGAAATTATCCAAATTTTCTCTTTTGTAAGTAATATTTTTCTTGTGCTTCTTCACAATGGATGCTTGTTTAATTTGTTCTTATTCTTTGAAATTATTTTTAAAAAATACAACATATGTTTATATACATATTTTTTATTAACTTATTTGGTATTCAGTGGTCCTTTTACTGTTAAAATTACAATCTTTATTTCCTCATAGAAAAGTTTACTTTTCCATTCTTTTTTTTTTGGTTTTTGTTTCTCTTTCATTTGTTCTGATTTTATTTTCTGGAATTTTGTATTATTAATATATTGGCTTTCTTAGAGTTCTGTCCACAGTTAGATTTTTTTCTCCCTTATCTTTTTTATTTACTTCTGAGAGAATTTCTTTAGCTTATTTCCTAAGTCCCTACTTGAGATTGTCACTTGTAATATATTTCATTTGTCTGAGGTTTGCTTTGTAAAATTTAGTTATGATGTTTTTCCCCAGGAATATGAGTTCCTAATCTCATATTGCTCCATGTTGGTATATACAATGTTTCTCCAATTATCCGGTAAATAAGAAAAGGAAGAAATTTGGGTTTCTTTCCTCTTTTATGAAGTCCATTTCACAGGATTGCATTTGTACTGATTTTTCTGCACTACCTTCTGTTAGCCTACTGAGTCCTTTCACACACCTGGTGATTTTACTCTGCATGCTCTTAAACAAGAGGTCTGTGCTTGCCTAATGATATAACTTGTGGTTTATTTTTCGGGGGTTATGCTTAAGTTTTCATCCCCTGCAAAAAAGGAGGAGGATGCTTATATTTTCTGTGGGTTGATTGTGGTAGACTGGGGATCCAGATGGCCACAAGGCACAGGGAAGGATGTGTTTTTGCTTGTCCAGCAGGTCCTGTCCAGCCACTAAAGCAGGTGACTGATTCCTGGCCCACTCTAGCCTGTAAGGTAGCCAAGAATTAGTTGTGAAATGCATTTTCAAATGGGAAGGTAAAAGTTACTAGGAAGCTAAGCCTTGAGGAAAATTCTTTACTATTGCAGTTGGTGGTGTTGCTTCTCCATGTTTGTTGTATGTCAAGAGAGGTTTAAAGGAATCTGCTGTGACTAGTCACTTGAGTACAAAGAGCTCTGACATAGTATTCACCTCCATATCATCTAGCTAGCTAACACTCACCTCCATTCCTTATTATTCCAAGCTTAGGTGGTTATTTTCCAGGTCTTGTGATGAGAAAAGCTACCCACCTACCTAATAGACAGACCTCTCCTGTGCCTCCATCTGCTTGATACTTGTCAACAATTTTTCAAAGAGCCTCAACCTTTGATGGAAACCCTATGCTTCCAAGTCATGATAAATATATTCTTATTTTTAGACTCCTTGTGTAATGATATTTAGTAAGAAGAAGAGAATGCATGAGCCCAAATAACCATTTTGAATCTTAAAATGTGAATTTGTAGCCACACCATTATATAAAGGCCAATTTTCCAAACCACAAATATGACTTATAATGTTTCTACTGATCTCAGTATGTGCTGATGTAGGATAAAATACCTTAATTATTTTGAGAGAAATAAAACTTGTTTTAGTTTTTAATGTTGGTAAACCGTATGCACATATGAATGTTTTAAAGCTGAAATTATGTTAACTTTATCTAAAAACCAGGTTTAGTACAATTTAGGGAGGACTAAATTGATAAAAAGGATACACCTCAAGTATTTCAGGGGGTTTTTATATTACAGAATTGTGTGCTTGATATTTTTCCAGAGTGTATAAAAATTGTCAACTAAATCAAACTCTAAAAATGCCAGTGGTCTCCCAGACTCAAAGGCCTGTGGGGCAAAGTTTTATCTTTAATTAAATATTGGTAATACCTACTTGACAGATTAAAAGCCATTTTTATCTGATTAACTTGATTAACTATATCATAATATGTTTTTAAGAAAAAATATTAAGCCCATGCACACAATCTTCCATAACTGTAACATGCCCTCACAGAGGTGCATCCCACCTGCTGTCTTCGCTTATAGTCAGTGGGAGCTGCTGAAATCGCCAAATCTGGTCACCAGAATCCCAGATGCAGTCACTGGGTGAATCCATCTGGTTCTAGTGAGCAATAAAGAACAGGATTCTTTCATTTCAAACTTTCAGAAAGTTAAAAATTATTTTTTAAAAAGATTCATTGTGAAGAACTTTACCCATATTACACACACACACACACACACACCCTCATCAATGAAGTTTGCTAAATAATTAACCTAAAGTAAAAATAAACATGAAAGGTGCTATACAATGGTAATTACAATGCCTTTCTCTCAACGTAGGTAATAGTGATAGTGATGGTGATGGTGATGGTGATGGTGATGGTGATGGTGATGGTGATGGTGATGGTGATGGTGATGATGATGATGATGATGGTGGTGGTGGTGGTGGTGGTGGTGGTAGTGCTCGGCGTGTCAGCATTTTGAAAAACCCTAACATTATGGCCTCTGTGTTGAATTTTCTTTTCCATTCTGCATCCATTCACCCCATGCCTTTTAACAGCTCTGGATTTTTTATTTGAACATCCCAACCCTATTGTGCTTGGGCTTCCCTGCCTTAAAATTAGTCCACTCCCTAGTCCCAGGTGTAATAGGTTGTATAATCCAAAATCCAGGTCACAGGACCAACTTATGGTCCTGTGATTTTTGTAGGGTGCAGACATAAGGTGGTGAAATTACGGAGAATGTAGGGGTTCTTTCAGAGCTACTAGGAGAGGGTGACTCCCTTTTAATGAATCCAGGATCGCTGAAGCTACAGAAGTATCTGGATGCTGCCTTTAGGAAGAAGTTTACATGAGAATGGATTCAGAAAGAAGGAAGTAGAGCCAAGTGATTAAGATAGAGAAAAGAACTATAAGTGACTTTGAGGAGTTAAAGCAGCTAGGCAGTTAGGAGCTGGACTGAGAGGTGGGAGGGGAGAGGTGAGGAATGTAGAAGGGAGGTGCAGCGGAAGCCTGCCAGTGTGAGCAGAAACCAGTTCCTCAGCCCCACCCCGGCCCCTGTAAAATCCCAAGAACAAAGGGCCATGATCCAGGGCTGAATACACAGGATGAGGAAAATGAGCGGGAACCCTGAAGTTTAACATGTATGGATGTTGTTAGAGCCGTTTTTGAAACGAACCAATGGGAAGTTAGTAGGGCACATAGTAACCCCTAAACCAAGGAACTGCCCAGTTACTGGGTTGGGTCCCCTCCCCAGATCCTGTCAGAGGTATACATTTATAAGTAGGAAGACTTATGGGACTGCTATACATTTATATGTAGGAAGACTTATGGGAAAGCTCCTATATCAGGGAGCTTTTCTGTAATAAAACTTTGCTTTTGCTCATCTCTTTGTGAACTCATTCTGTGATTTCATGAGACAACAAACTCTAACCCAAACAGAAATTTTGATATCATCTTCATTTAAACTCTGAGCCAAGTCTTTCCTGAAGCCATTCCTACTCCTGGACTTCTCAGGCCATTCTTCCCAGTCAGCTCACACTCTTCCTCCCTTGCCCACTCCTCTGTAGCAACAAATTTGTTTTGAAGAGGCCACTGTAATTCTTACTCAGGACATTGCATTTTCTGTTTCCTCTGCCTGGAATGCCACCCTCTCCCCTCTCCACCACCCTATACACACACAGCTATTCTCCTTACTCCCGCCTTCATTTTCTTCAAATCTCTGCTCAAATACCATTCCTAAGAGAAACCCACCTGATACTTTTCTAAAGAAGTGCATCTGGCCATTTGCCAGCTTCCACCTGCCAAAGTTTCCTCACTGAACAGCATCTGCCACTTTATAATATAGCGTTTGTTGTTGTTATTGTTGTTTGGTGTGTGTGTTGGGGTGGGGTGAGGGGTGAGACTTCTCTGCCCTCCCATTAGGGTGTGAGTGTCACTTGGGCAGTAGGTTTGTCTGCTTTGTCACTGTTGCATTCCAGCATCAAGAATCTTGCCTATTGTATAGTGAGTACTATTGTATAGATAGAGATATTGATATATCTCATGATGTTCTGAGAGGGAAAGGGGGGTGCTATTCATTGTTATTGCAGGACTACAACAGGGATAAATCAGAACTGTCTCGGAAAAAATCTGGATGTATGTTCACACTAGGTATACGTCCACGGCAAATAGTTTGCTACCAACTTAAAAAGTATAGTAATCTTCTGAGTAAACTATGGGTATAGTTTTCAGAACACCCGGAATTGTCATTCTGCCTCATTCGTAAACAGAAACATAGTACATTTCTGAAGCACGCTGGCAATTCCCATAGACAGAGCTTTCATAGATAGGCAATTATTGGTTGAATGAAGGAATACACAAACATATTAATAAATCCCTATGGTGTTGTTTTGGCTCAATCCTGGAGTATTTATTCTCTCACAGCTAAAAGTATTGTAACTGTTAGACTATTATGTTAGTGTTTTAGGATATAGGAGGCTGATATGGTTACGCAAAAAGTAAATGGAGGATGAGATAGACAAGTAGGTTCTGCTTGACTGGAGCTCTTAAAGGCTACTCTCTAGCACTTTCCAAATCGCTGAGCTTAGCCAGGAGAGCTTCAACATATTACCCTATGATGTTTCTGTTTCCTTTATCAATAGATAATAAAATAATTTCATAGAACTCTCACATTACTTTGCATTTAGTGAAGAAAACTAATAGCTAGTGGACTTTTGCCCAGCACAGATCCTGTCACAGGTATACATTTATAAGTAGGAAGACTTATGGGACTGCGATACTTTTTAAGTTGGTAGCAAACTATATGCAGCAGATGTATACGTAGTGTGAACATATATCCAGATTTTTTTCTGAGACAGTTCTGATTTATTCTTCTCATAGTCCTACAATAACAATGAATAGCACCCGCTATCCCTCTCAGAACATCTTGAGATATATCAATATTTCTATCTATTGCCCTTCCTAGGGTTAGTCCATTGTAATCATCTGAGTAAACTATTGGTACAGTTTTCAGAACACCTGGAAGTGTCATTCTGCCTCATTCATAAACAGAAACATAGTACATTTCTGAAGCACGCTGGCACTTCCTATAGACAGAGCTTTCATAGATAGACAAGTGCGTAAACAAACAATGACAGTGTACATGAAAAGGATTAGGGAGGAAGAGGCAGCTAAATCTCCAACCTTTTCACTTATTTCCATTTCCACAGCTGCCATTCTTTTCCAAGCCACCATCACCTTTTATTGGACCATCTCTATAAACTCCTAAGTAGGCCATCGGTTCTTCTCTTCTCCCCCTTCTATCTGTTAGCAGCCAAGGTGAGCATTCAAGACACAAACTGGATCCTATCCTCCCATCACGAGGATTACCCTAGGAAATAAGTGTCTAAACCAGGTGCCCTACAAAACAGAGCCTAAGGCAGTGATGGTGAACCTTTTGAGCTCGGCGTGTCAGCATTTTGAAAAACCCTAACTTAACTCTGGTGCCGTGTCACATATAGAAATTTTTTGATATTTGCAATCATAGTGAAACAAAGACATATTTTTTATATTTATTTTATATATTTAAATGCCATTTAACAAAGAAAAGTCAACCAAAAAAATGAGTTTGCGTGTCACCTCTGACACGCGTGTCATAGGTTCGCCATCACTGGCCTAAGGCAAAGCCTTTGTGCTAAGACTCTAGTGAGGCGCTCAATTCCAGGATGGCTGGAGTGAGGGAAAGGGGAGTGAAGCAGGAAAGGAGATAGGAAATGGGAGGCATTTGGCCAAATATCATCTCCACGTGGCTGTGCAGGTATTTTTTAGATAAGGTTACCATTTCAGTTAGTTCACTTTGAGTAAAGTAGGTTAGCTTCCACAGTGTGCAAGGGCCTCATCCAATCAGGTGAAGGTTTGTGAGAGAAGACAAAAGTCTCTCGAGAAAGAAGGATTGAAGGATTTCTGCCTCCACAAGGCCTTTGGACTGGGGAATGCAACATAACCACATGCCTGGGCCTCCAGCCTGCTAGCATGCCCTGCAAGTTTCAGACTTCCCAGCCTCCACAGCCACACCTGAGCCAATTCTTTAATCTCTCTCTCTCTCTCTCTCTCTCCTCTCTCTCTCTCTCGCTCTCTCTCTCTCTCTTCTCTCTCTCTCTCTCTCTCTCTCTCTCTCTCTCTCTCTCTCTCACACACACACACACACACACACACACACACACACCCTATTGGTTCTCATTCTCTGGAGAACTCTGGAAAATACAACTGGGCAAAGGCCCTGAGACTACCAGAGAGAACAGATTGTTCAAGGTTCTGAGAAAAGGTCACTGCAGTAGAGTGAAGGGTCAAGGGTATGAGTTGAGCCTGGAAAGGAAGGCAGGAGCCAGATATTCAGGACCTAAGGCAGCAGGTTTTCATCATTATTGGGAGTGCAATGAAAAGCTATTGAATTGTTTCAAGTAGGCTGGATTGGAGACACTGAAGTTTAAAATCTGGAGACCTAGCTGGTTTGGCTCAGTGGATAGAGCCTTAACCTGCAGACCAAAGGGTCCCAGGTTTAAATCCAGTCAAGAGCATGTACCTGGTTGCAGGTTCCTCCTCAGCCTGGGCCCATGGTAAGGGCTCATGCAGGAGGCAACCAATCGATGCATTTCTCTCACATCAATGTTTCTCTCTGTCTTTTTCTCTTCCACTCTCCCAAAAATCAATGGAAAAATATCCTCGGGTGAGTATTAACAACAAAAAAATAATAATAATCATCTTACCTAATAATAGACAAACATGTAAATTAACCATCCCTCCACTACACTCACCAGCCAACAAAGATGGCGGTTAATTTGCATACATAGGCAAGAAGTGGTGGAGCGAGACTGAAGGCTCTGGCTGGAGCAGTGAAGACTGAAGGTTCTGGCCAGAGCAGCGAAGGCCTGGGTCCCGAGTGCTGGGGGAAAACCAGTGCTGGCAGCCAGGGGAAGGGAAAGCATATTGCATGAATTCTTCGTCCAACAGGCCTCTAGTAATAATAATAAAATGAAATCTGGAGACCTGTGTAATATTATAGGTGATAAATCATGTATCCTGAACTGGGCTAAGGCCAAAGGAGAGGGAGAAAGGAGTCAGGTAGCATTTCCTTAGCTTTCCCTATTGTGTTTACATTGTAGGTGCAACTCTGCTAGGAAGTTTCCTGAATTCTGGGGTAAAGATTTTCTCTTCCAACCTGCATCTGTAGCCATGGAAAAGGTTTTGATTCATAAAGCCAACTTCTTACAGGCCAGAGAGGTAAGTTAATTTTAAATTCATGTTCCAAAGTCTTCTTTGTTTTTGTTAGTTTATTTGTTTTAGACTCTGAAAAGTTTAACATTTTACTCAAAAGTTTTCAGACATCTTACAGGAACTCTTTCTCTAGATGAGCCCTGAAATCAGTGTAAACGTGATATTAGTATACTCCTGAGTCGTTTCTCTTTTCCCCTTGACTTGGTGTGCTAAAGTATAAGTTGCAAGTTCCAGTAAAAAAAAAGAAATAAAAAGCTTGCAATTAATGCTTAAGTAGATATAATTACCAGTAAAATTAGACAAGAGCCAACTTTTAATTTTCTAGGTATATGGATCTTATGCTGAGAAATTCACCAGTGCTTAAAGGAGTCTTCAAATCTTTTCTGTAGCCCATTATATTTTTCTAGTATTCTCATTTTCTCCCCTAACTTGCAGTATTTCATATCTTTAGCACCTCTCCTTCCCACTCAACTCTTGAAAAATTTCAAGTATGATTTTTTTTCTCTCATACTTGATGGTAAAAACAGAAGCATTCAGAAAGGAAGTCCTTCCAGTGATCATCTAAATCCTCCCTGGTTTCCCCCCACCAACTTCCCTTCTTCCTCTGATTTCAATGAAGAAAATGTTCCTTCATATTTCAAAGATCAGTCCCTCCAATGGTCAAGTTTCAATCAACTATCCTATTGTCTTCTCCAAGATTTTAATTCCTTGGTTATTTCTCTACTACTACTTCCTCCTCCTCCTCCTTTTCTTCTTCTTCTTCTCCTTCTCCTTCTCCTCCTCCTCTCCTCTTTTTCT